TTTTCGCTTAAACTAGCAAGGTCTGGAGAGGGGAAGACGTTGACAACTGAGAAAGCGAGCATGCTCACGGGGTGCTTCGGACCCAGGCTTGCGTCGAGCATCAGTAGGGCATAATTTGTCAAATCGAATACCATGATATGTCCTGTCTGTCCAGGCCTGTAGTTCATTCAACCGGCATTTGCTGGATTACTTGCCTGGACCTTCATATGATGATCCACGTGTAAGGTCCAATTGTGAAAGTTATTGTCCCTACTTGCATTTCAAGTAGGGAGGTTGTTTAACTGCGCAAAAGGACTGCAGGAGGATGCTTCGCTGTTTTACTTCAGAAATTTACTTTCAGGCTGATACAGCCTTCAAAAGTCATTCAGTTGCAGTAGAACCTCGGTTAACGAATTTAATCCGTCCCGGCACCGAGTTAGTCATATAAAGCGCTCGTCTTGTGAAACGTAGCCAATTAGAGTGCACCTGTTCACTGATTGGTTGCAGACGACCGAGAACCCACGCCCTGGCAGCAGGACTCAACGGCGGACGCAGGCAGACACACACAGGCTGACAGCTCTTTAATTGAGCGGAAAAAAATATCTGTTAGTAGCTCGCTCGTCACCTGAAATGCTCGCAGATAGAGCTTCTCGTCATCCGAGGCTCCACGGTATATGCGATATTTTTACAATACTGATTTCCAGCATGCTCTTATCTGGTTATTCAGTGTGGGAACTAGGAAGCTGGGCGCTCATGATTGATTCACTTACTGGTACTGCAAGAGCTTCGCAACTGGGCGCGTATGCTGAATGGTGAAGTACAGTTGTACCACAATGGGATCTTAGCAGTTATTAAATGTTATTTTACCTTACTATGCTCCTTGCATCTTACAGATAACAAAATATCATTTCCACCTTAAATAACTATACAGCCCTATAAATTTATTTTGCAGAGAAAGTTCAGACACTGACGGAAGCGAACGCTAGCCTTTCAAAGGAGGCAGACAGCCTGGAGGATGCCAAGGTCCGACTCGAACGCGAAAGAGAGTCCCTTCAACAGCATATTTCTGATCTCGAGGAGTCCGTACAGGACTTGGAGGTAACTGATGACACCTTGCTCTTTTTATGAAAGCTTGAAAACTTTCCGGCGTAGGCCATTCGTCACGTAGGTTAACCTATACTAGCCTGACACAAGTTTCCTTAGGATTCCAGGCAATTTATGACGAATTGTACAGTCACAAAGATAAGGATGCACTAATCTTTGTTTCACAATTCATTAACAATTATGTTAGCAAATACTGGGGACTAAATCAATCAAATGAGAGGGTTGCCATTTATCTCTTATTTCAATCAACTTATATTCGGAAAAGTTGTTGATTAGATACATTCTTTGTGTTTTTTTAGGCTCGTTACCAATCAGCGCAAAATGCGATGACCCACCTCCGCACTGAGCTGACACAAAGAATCCAAGATAGGGACGAAGAGCTGGAGACCCTCAAGTGAGTGCTTTGAAAGAACCTGCATGCAGTCTGTTGGTAGGTTACATGTGCCTGGTGCGGCCGCGATCATGCCTGATCTAGCCGGCTTCGATGATGTCACGAACTGTGGAGATCTGCGACAGCAGAGCTGGACAGTTCAGTCCGCTTTTTTCGCCAGCGACGGACGGCGAATGCCGGAGGTCCAAGAACCATTGTCCTGTGTTGAGAAACTGCGTCGAGCCAGATTTTCAGTTAAATCGCTCCTCGATGCCTTTAAGAGGGTAACGGTGACATCGCTCAGGTGGACGAGGAGGAACGCGCTCAAACCACCTTAACCATCTATCTTGGATGGCCTGG